CAATGGGTTAGCAGCCTCGCAATCGTTAATGTGGAAAGGTAGCATCGAAAGGGTTGCACAAACAGAACAGAACAGAACGAAACGAAACGGAATGGAACTAAATTGCATATAAATAAAAAACTCTATTGCCTTACGCATTCCTGTTGCGTCTTTTCTGCTGCGGCTGCATGTGAACAGAATTGGTATTAATTGCCCCAGCCTGGAAAAGGCCCAGAGCTGGGTAGCCTCAGCTGTTGTGGGCCTATAGTGGGCAAGTGCACCTGATAACATTTGGATTAAACCAAGTACAGGCTGATGAGATATATGGAAGTACTAGGAAATATAATTTGATAACTCAAATCCCCCGCCTTCCCTTCCTTACAGACTTGAGGATTGGTAAAAAGAAATACATGTATGCACATATACATATACAGTAGAGTCCAGCTCAAGGGACCGTCGGAAAACGCTCCAGCTATACAAGTTTGTCTTGGGATTAGAGCTTTCGTCGCCATAACCGTATGTACATATGTACATATGTGAATGTCATAATCATATTATAAACACATTTGATTATGGAATTCGATCCAAGAAAATAAAAAGTTCTCATAGCATAGTCCAAATTGCAGCCCAAACGCTGTCGCTGCGTCAACTGCGCAGCTAGCAGAGCGCGTGCCCTTGCTTGCGAGCGTATGTGTATGTGTAGTGTGCTTCCTGTGTATATAGAAAGGAATCGAATAATTCATTGGAATAATAAATCTTCGTAAAGGTTCAGGGGATCCCGTAAAAAGGAATCGAAATATTCATTATATATAATAATTCGAATAATTCTTCGCATGGTTCAGAGGATCTCGTAGTCTACCAGGCTCCACTAAAGCATTCAACTCTAGAAACTTGAAATGAATTGATAGCTGACCAGAAATAATTAGCCACGTAAACAAAATCTCTGGATGCTTCAAATCTTGAAATGCGTTTGAACTGTTTGCTATATAGAGTAGTGCACAGAATTTGCTGACACCGGGCAGAACGAGCTGCTGGCTAAGCCAGTTGGTAGAAGCTTACCCACACAATGGCCAAGATGATTTGAAAAACTCGCGCATCATTTCGCGCAACAAATGACAGCCGACTGACTGACTGAGTGACTCTCGGTTTGACTCTGGGTTTGGCTATATGCTGTGCTGGCTAAATGGAATACATAAATGTCATTTATTCATTTATGCAAAACTTGTAATAATGACAACTGCGAGAGAGAGAGAGTGGGAGTGATAGAGAATGAGAGAGAGAGAGAGAGAGGGCAGGTGGGCTGCGAGAGACGTCGTCAGATTCGTGAAATCCGTGCAAGCGCAAAAAAATTTGTTGACTCTGAAAGATTTTCATGGCGCCCAACGATGCTGCTGTCAAAAATGTTGTGTGTTAACGCTAACCCCAACCCGGCCCCGCCACCGCCCCGCCCCCCAAAAATGTTTTCCGGCTAAGGTGTGCAATGGCTGCCGCTGCTGCTGCGGCTTGATGTGCCGCGCCATGCCAAGCGATTTGACTATTAAGCTTTACATCTGCCTCGCTCTCTCTCTCTCTCTCTCTCTCCTTCTCCCGCACCTATGCATGGTTGCTGCTGCTGCTGTTGTTGTTGTGCGGTAATAAAATTCTTAATGTGCCATTAAATCCTTCCACTGGCAACGTCATCAGCGCGTCATGACTTTTGTGAGCCGCCACCAACGACAACGACAACGACAACGACAGCGACAACGACAACGACGTCAACACCGCCTCGGTATGGCCAGGGCGAGTTGTCTTGGAATTCCGCCAAGCCAAAGAAATCTAACGAAAATTTTGCTACGAAATGGCACGTAAATAAATTGCAAAGATTTGTCGTCTGTTGAGGATGCGGACTTGGCACCCACCAACAACAACAACAACAGCAACAACAACAGCAACGATGGCTATAACACCTGCCCCATAGACCTGAGACTGTTGTGCGGTTTACCCCAGCTCCAGCTCCCACTCCCGCTCCCGCTTCAGCCTCTCTGCCAGTGGCAAAAGGACAACAAATGAGTTAACATTTTTGGCGTTGCTACGTAAAAGCCTTGGCAATCGTTGACGCTGCCCCCACTGATGACATCTATGGCCCCCCAGCTCTAGAAAATTTATATGTACATCTCCAGCAGTCCTGATCTCCAACTCCTTCCGGCTCAGCCATAAGATTCACCTCTTGCCCGCTGGCTGCTGCTGCTGCTGCTGCTGTCATTATGATTATTGTCATTTGGCTGAGGTGATTCAATGCATTTAGATTGCATAATTAAGTAAGGCGCGTTCATTTATTAAACTCTCTCTCTCTTCAGAAACAAATTACAAATCGGACCGAAGCTGCCAAGACTGTAGGCCTCACTCGTGGTATATCTGAGGTATAATCGTGCTTTAAATATAGATAATGTTTATTAATATTATTTTTATTTGATGTGCAATGAATTCATTTTTGTAAATATAATATAGGTAATGGAAAGGTAGCTTACAATATATATTTTTGCATTTTTAGACTAATTTATGGGAATTCGCAATTTTCGCTGAAGATCGTTTGCATTGTGGAACAGAGCGTAGAGAGCCCATGAGTCAACTGTTATTTACCTCTTACCTTACTTCGTATTCGCAGAGATCATTTGGTCTCAGTCTTGCTCAGCAAAAATATATAAGTACATGATTTGTATACCTATCAGAAGGCCATCTATGCAATCATAAATGCAAACTCTTCGATCTCTTGAGCACAACAGAAGACGTAAGCGGTTCAAGAGTCAATAGTCTATACATATTACATAGAATGGAGCGGTTTATTGAGGTATCCTTTGAAGTGTTGAAGCATTAAAAGAAGTCTCGTATGCATCTTGTCAGCGAATACCCTGGCAAAAGTTGCTGCAATAACTGCTGCAATAAAGGAGAGAAATGGAATTTTGTTTAATATTGAAATAGCTGCATTTATTTATACATACTTAGATATGATTTAAGTGGAAAATCAAAATCCAGAGCTTAAGCACCATAAGGACATGCATCGCACACGTATACTATATAAGAGAATATGACGTTAGATGGGAAGGCGAGAAAGCTCTGCTATAAAAGAAATCAAACCTCAAAGCCTTGAAGAAATCCCCTGTCCAAGAGTAAGCTAAATTGTCGGCAAGTCAACTCTGAGTAGCCAAAATTAAGCCAAACGCTGCTCAAATTCAGGCAATACGATTTTGAATGTAATTTATTTTATTTTGATGTACCTTGCACAGCTTGCACTGTGAATGACATCTGTAGAACTTTAGGCATTGACTTAAAAAAAAAAAGGTAAATAAATTGTATTTAGTATTATTATTATATTTAATTTTGTCGACAAAAATGCAATAATTTAGTCACACCGTTTGGGTTCTTAGAGTTTTAAGAGTTATATGTATGTATGTATATTAATAATTTTTTAATTTTTTAAATTTTTAAAGAATTTCATAAAAAATTATATATACATATATGTCTTTTAAGTTTTTCTTCATTCTATTGCCACAAAATTGTTTAATTGGACTCATCGAGTGCAATGCTATTTAGACTTGATTTCTGAGCAGCTGCTCTTAAATTAAAATAAGTCAGCTCTATTTTATATATAGACGGCATATACTTAAGGCATGCCAGATTGAGGCTGGGCCCTGGCTATGATTACAGCAAAAGTCCTTTGGCTTGCTGTGGGCGGGGCTGAGGGCTTTGGGCTGGGGGCTGGCATCTGGAGGTCTGAGGGTCTGAGGGTCTGGTCTTCAAGCACTTCACCCAGTTAGCTGGATGGCAGGAACGAACAAAGCTATGCCAAATTATAAACCACTCAACCTGTATTACATGTTGGGGCCTGCTGAATCGTTTCGATTGTTGCAACGGCTGCAACTGCAACTGCAACTGCAACTGCCGCTGTGGCTGCTTCGAGTGCTTAATACCTGTCGTCATTAATATTTGCCTGCGGCACAACAAAAGCGTCTGCTGGCCTCCCTGCCACTTGTCGATATTTAACATAATTGTGCAATTGTGCGAAGGCGCACACACACACACACATTTGTTCGTTGCTGTTGTGTTTATTTGTATATGTAAAATCAAAAAGAGTTCAAGCATCTGCGTTTAAGTCGCGTTGCTTCCAAGTTCCAAGAGCCGCCGCTCACTCAGGCAGTTAATGGTTCTGCAATGGTTGCAGCGGATGTGCAATTTCTTCTAGACCCGACCTCAAAAGGCTAGCACACACATGCATATATGATGTGTATATGTAATATGTTGCATGTATAGAAATTTACACAGACAAGCTCAAGGGATTCGTTCTGCTCTGTTTAGTTGGCAACGCCAATAGAAGACTAAGGACTGTCAACCGAGTAGAGTTAGGGCATCTCCCTAGGCTTCAGCTCTTATCAGTCAAATTGCAAATAACGGAGTTAAGTGTTGGCCTTGATCCCGACTTGCAAATGCCCTGAACGAACCGTATTTGTTTAGCTGTACGCCATGGAACCGACATACATGTTTATTTTTTTCATAACTTCTTTATTACTTAATGGACTTCAATGAAATATGCAATATTTTCTCTATATTTTCTATTGATTATCTGTCAATATAGGATCAATAAATTCGCCTGCTTTGGGCTTTGGGCCTACAAAATTACAAAGAAATTCTGGCTTACTATATTTTAAAACTCCATCTCATGATTTTCAGCAAAACTCCCAGCTGCTGAAATTTGTTGTGCATAGTAGGCGCTGCCAGGCGAAATTTGTGATACCCTTGCTGCTTTTCATTTCAGGCTCATTCGGTTCCCATTCAAAGTACAGATCACATGTGAAACCAAAAAATTATTTTTTCTGAAAAGTAGAAAAAACCTTCACAAATTCTGGTTCAAGACAGATTGAAAAATAGACAAATATATTATTGAATTTTTTTCATTTTGAAATTGCAACAGTGAACTCTTAAATTCAGGTAAATATTGCGATTGCTTCAAATTGTGTTTCATTGATTGTGCCTCTGTCCCGGTTAAGGATTCAAATCATGCAGCGCTCATCGATAAGGCTCGTTGGAGGCTTGTACTTGCGGGCAGATGCATCACGAATGCTGTTCAAACGACACATTGCATTCACCCCGAAGAAGGGATTCTCTAAGAGCAGCGGAGCAAACAAAAACAAAATGGGATCGGGACAAAATGTTGGTGGTACGACCAATCGCATGGAGACCAGCACTGTGGAAGCTTTCAAGAGGGACATGGCGAAGCCGCGGCGCTTAGTGCGTGAGGACAACATGTGGAGCGACCCACAGCATATGGATACGAGATGGCTGCGTCCGCGCGATCCCCGACGCTATAAGCCCGACTTTGGCCAGACCGAGCCGCACACGTTGCGCGAACAGTTTATGCGGAGCCCGGACGAGCGCACACGCAACGCGATGGGACGCGACTGGGAGGTGGCGATGCGGGTTGCGGCCACCAGGAGGCGGCAGGCAGCCAATGTCAAGCCAGATCAGGATATGGTTTACATGAGGTCTAAACAGGAACTGGGTCCGCCGCAGGAGTAGGCAAATGAGTATGTGGATGCGTACGAAAACAGCTATTGGACCTGAAATTGCCTAGATCGTTGTCCATATGTTTCGATTCACCGCTTCCCCCACACCATATCATATTCCTCGGACAAAGCCCCATCAACACGTGTAATCATAATTGGTTAATAACGATTGGGTTGATGAAACCGTAAATGACCTCAACAAATTTCGACTTAAGCATGCTCTCTCGTAGCACCCAAACACACGTCTCACACCTGCAATTAGATACAAGAATCCATTAACTCATGGTGCACTGTCGTGCATCGAAAATCCGACCACTCCAATCAATGAATCGAATCAAGTTTTGCAAAGATTGTTTCAGAGCCAAGAATTTGAACGGAACAACGCCTATGTAATGCGGACGCAAAGTGGCGAAAGCCCAGAATGTAGATAGGTAGTAAGTTTTTCATTTATTTGGACCCCAACATGTGAAGCTGTATGCGATGGTCAGCTCTTCAATACAACATTGATCTGGTACATAACTTTGAATTCCACAGCAAGTGGAATTTGATTAAATTAAATAAGTCTCAATTAATTAAGCGAATAATTAAGCATAATTATTTTTTAGATCCGAATAATATTACATGCCGTTGAGCATTGAATTAGATCGAAATTAATATAAGTATGTGAAATATAAGAATTTGTTAATACATTTTTGCAAATTTTATAACTCTAATGAATTGTTTGTTGTGAAATTGCGAGGAAAGGGAGCGGTTGGTAGATGAAGTACGTATGTATATGCATATAGATATACTTGATCTGGATGAAGAGATGGAGTAGGACTAGAGTCCTCTAGTACGCCTGTCTATTGTCCGACCCTCCGTCCGTCTGCTTGACCAGTAATCTATTTATCCTTCCGTCCGCTCATGCATTCATCCGTCAATATTTCTCTAAACTTGTGCGGCCGCCCGTGTTTTTATGAATCCCTATGAAATTCAGCATTTGAAATACATATACATATTATTCGTGTATTTAATTTGCAGTACACGTCATATTATTTTATTGCGATAGCTCATTCCGGTTGACTGTTATCGATATCTATCGGAAAATCTTGTCGTTTTATATTTGTCAAACCTTGAAGTTTCTTCTTCGAGTCCTCGAGTTTTGCGGATTCTAACACACCTTGCTCCTAGTAACATGCAAATTTACTAAAGAATATTGCATATAGAAGCGGCTTGGGGTAGTCAGAACTCCAGAGCAATAGGATCTTCAACAGTAATATAATCTTACTTGTTGCCTCGAGCACACATTGGATATAAGTGGGAGTTAATGGCTGATGGACTTCGCCGAAAAGAAATGGGTAGAATTGAAATATATCCATACAAATGGTATATTTAATTGGGATATAGTAATAAAGGTATTCCCTATGCCATTTTAGATATTCAAATATTGAATTTGTATCGCTCACATTCCAGGCAGCTAAAGAGACGCAGAGACATTTGCGTCTTTGGCTATTTTGTTGCTGCAGCAAGCGCTCTGGCAGTCGGCAAGAAATATGGCAACACCTTCGCTACGGACATTAATTTTTACTGCTTTTGGGTTTTCAATTTGCCAAAGAAGCCACGTGAACGACAACAGCAGAGGCAGCAGCAGGGACAGACAGTGGCAGCAGAGACAAGGCGAGGGACTGCGGCATTTAACGCCGCATAGAAAATCAAACGCAAAAGGTCGAAAGACAAAGGCATGGAGTTGGAATTGGAGCGCCTTGTGATATATATGTATATGTATATATGCATACCCCATGCCCGTTAGATGGGATTGGAGGTGGGGATTGTCCCAGTCAGTAACCCTTTATCGAGACGCGCAGCATGGGGCAAGTGTTGATTTAGGGTTGCAAACAGAAATTATGATAATGCCTGTGAAAACAACAGAACAGAGGAGGAGCTGGAATAGTAAGAGCAGGGACCTGGACCGGGACTGTGGGGACGGGGTCGGGGTCGGGGCCAGGACGGGTGTAATGAAACCCAAGCGAAAGAAAATATATTAAATGATATTGAGAGGAACTAATTTTCATTAAAAGGATTAAAAAGCATTTGGCAGCGAGCGAGGCGGGCACAGACAACCGCGATGCGGGCTGGTTATGAATTAACATAAAAATCATAAAAATATGACACTATGCGACGCGTCGGCCATCAGCATCAGCATCAGTACGATTATCATTATCATCATCATCATCATCGTCATCTTCATCGTCAGCTATATCATTATCATGTTTGGCAGGCGGGATGCTCATAATGAGCAGAGCTTCGAGGCGACCCGCAACACCGGCTAAATGGATATGGCAGCAACGGCAGCCACAATCTCCACTGAATGGGCGTGGCAGGCAGGTGGCAGCGGCAGTGGCAGCTGGCAGTGAATGGGTGGGTGGATTTGGGTGGTCTGCACATCGGCCACATTGATGGCAACGCGCGACAATCAACACGAGGCGCGCTGATAGCGTCGCGGCAGCGCGCGCGCGCCACATTTGGGTTTGGGAGGATTAGTAATGGCATCGCATGCCATGGATTGGGTTAAAAGGTGGGCCAGAGCATGCTAAGCATTATGCTGCCGCTGCCGCTGCTGCTGCTGCTGCTGCTGCTGCTGATGCTGCCCAAACGTCGTCCGAAACATTGTTTGCTCTCGCTCTATCTCTTGTGCTTGGGCCTGCGGCTGCCACTGCGGCTGCCAATGCCAACGCCAATGCTTACGAGTTGGGATATATGAAGCGCCCACACCATGCCGGGCCTTAGCCACTTAGTAACTCACCCGCAGTTTATTATTTTCAAAATATTTAAATTTTTTGGTAATAAGCGAAAAATGGTTTTAATATAAGCAAATGGCTGCGGATAGCAGGAGGCAAACGATGTGCCTGACTGCGACGTTGTTGTCCTTAATCCACCTGGTTGGTGCCATTGAGGGCGCGTCGGTAGTGCGTGGGCTAAAACGACGACCGCTGTATCGATATGTACGGCTGAATTCACTATGGGTGTGCAAAAGAGAAAGATAGAGATAGATAATGTATTATAAGTTCAGCTAAAGCCGTGTTGGAGGCTGACTGAGCTGCCTCTACCGCAAATCGTAATATTTTTGGTGGATTTTTTCATTGGTCTCGCTAAACTCTCAGATGTTGGCTATTTCTGTTATATATTTGACATATGAATTGAACTCGTGTCTTTTCCCTTTGAATAAGCATAGATTCTTGTATCGATAAATATCGATATTGTAGCCAAAATTATTTCATAAATTGATTTTAATTCAAGCCGACGCTGATTCTCAAGCTACAAGATAAACTTCAATAAAGGAGAGAGAGGGGCCGAGAGAGAGTGAGAGAGAGAGTGAGTGAGAGAGAGAGAGAGAGAGAGAGAAGTTTAAAGATGTAACGCTGCTGAGCTGTTTCACTTCTTATTGAGAGAGGCTCTTGAGCCTTGAGGCTGATGTGAGTTCATTAATTGTTGGTCCACAAGAATGACGACTTCAATGTACAGGGTTACCCATACTAGACGGATCCATTTTGGCAACTCTACAAGTTGGCGCATATCCGAGGGACCCACGCTTTTATTTAAGTCAAAGAAAACACTATTTTGTTCATGTTGATAATAAAAATCATTTTATTTCTTGCAAGTACATTTTTTGACATATTTCTCTGCATATGATAGCTCTCAAAGGGGCGCCTTGATCCTGTATGGCACCTGTATCAAGAGATGTAATTATTCAAAACCTTACCTAAAAATATGAAAAAATAATATCAAATTTCATTTATTAATATGATCAAAGCGCTGATATGCCTCTATTCAAACAACTGCAAGAGTACCCTAAAGTTCTTTACTAGAATCGCAGCAGTTTTAATATTAATATGACATATAAGCATCTATATAAAATAATATAATAAAATATATAATATAATATAATATAATATAATATAATATAATATAATATAATATAAT